GAGCAGATATTCCCAAGACTGGTGGGTAACACTGAAGTTAAACTCCCCAACCAGACTCAAACTGTGCTTCTCATCCTCCACACTGGTTATCAAGAAGCAAAAAAGAAATCACACCGCCCCCTTTATTGCATTCCAGTTCTCAGCCTCCCAATCACCACCTAGGTCCGGTTCACTGAGAAGTTATTTAAAATAACTCTGCTCACATATACAGAATGTTCTTCTCACCCCAAAGGGTCAGCCATGTTACCAGGTCAGTATAGGTTTGGATCTTACCCAAAATACCACTCTGCCAGCCAATCCTTTAGTGTCGAAAACTAAAGGTTTATTATAAAGAAAGAAGAGAGATGTTAATGGTAAAACAGTCACATACATCCAAAGACTTCAGAGTCCATCTATCAGGTTCCTAGCAGTATTGGTGACTTTGCTGGCTTGCAAGTCCCTCTGGGACACCTCCACAGCTTGGATGGGTCATTCAGTCTTTTGTTCAGAGCATCAGTTTGTAGCAAAGTTCCTTCAGAGGTAAGAAACACGATTGAAGACGTGGAGAAGATGCAGCTGCCCTTTATAGTCTTTTGCTCGTTACACTTTTATAATATTGATATTCATAATATCCTCGAGGGTCCCCCAGATTCCATACAGCGTCACAACTCGTCTCCAGGACACCTCTCCAAATAACCAGCCGCAGCCCATGCGTTATGATGAATGTTGCCACTTGCATGCGAGTGCTTTACAAACACAAATTCCTTGGTCAGCACAAGCCCCCTGGGAGGTAGGGGAGTTTCATCCCCATTTTACTGGGGGTGGGGGAGAACAGGCAGATTAGGGACTTGACCCCGAACTGGCATTAGAATATAGGAGTCCCCTGCCTAGCAAGATCAAGCTGCCTCTCGTGCCAACGGGTCAGAGGCTACATTGGCTGTTTATCACAGGGGCTAGTTCAGCTGCAGGTACCAGCTGAGAGAGGGCTTGCGACAGCCCCAGCAGCAGCCTGGATGACACAAGCCCCGCAGTAGTGAATTGATCTGTCCGTGGGACCCAGGCGTTTCCTGGGTCCCAAAAGCTGATGCTGAATCAGTCTAGCAGGGGATGGAACAACCCAGGATCTTTAGGAAATCAGCAGTGACAAACCGTTGGCTCCAGTGGATGGTCTACGGTCCCGCGGCCCTTTACAAGAAGCAGGGCTCAGCTTGTTAAAAATGAAAGCGTTTGTCTTCGTAGGTCACCGGAGTGAGAGTCCTGAGTGCGCTTTGCTGGCCCCAGGATGTCTGGCCCCTTTCAAATGGACCTTGTGCTTTATCTGACTGTCAGAGGCAGTGGTAGCCTGGTGCATTGAACCTCGTGTTGGGAGCCCGGAATCCTGAATTCTGATCCCAGCTCTGAGACCACTGCTGTGTGGCCTTGACCCAAGTAACTTCACCTCCCCATGCCTCAGTTTCCCTATCTGTAAAATGGGAATGGTACCACTTACCTCCCTGGGAGACCATGCAGGAGAACTCGAGTGTATGCAATGCTTTGAAAATGTCTGTAAGGAAACCTCAGTCACGTCAGACCCTTCTTTGCTGTGCAGTGTGGCTTTCATCATAGCCAGAATGGTGGTATAGTTACAAATTATCTATTAATCATGTACCTGATATGGTTCTGTTTTTGCAACTTTTCCCACTGCTTCTTTACACTTCAAAGCACCTCTTAATATGTTTAACATCTTTAGTCTCCTTCCTCTGCAATAGGTCGTTGGTGAGCATTAGCACCGTAGAACATAGTGTTTTCCCTGTAGAAAGCATGCCATAGACTCTATTCCATTTGTAAATAAAGAATCTCTTACCACACATCTGAATCCTGACCTGTGCATTTCTCCAGACTTCTGCAGAGTCAGACCATTGGTCAGCTCATTCCTCCTTTCCTGAACCTTACCCTGGTTTGCAGGGATATGAAATCCTTGGCTTGCCATCAGTTTAGATTCAACAAACATCTCTGTTTACAAACCTACTGGTACTTTCCTGCTTAGCTTTCCTGCAAGGCTTGCCCGGCGGTGTGTTCTCGGTCTCTAGTGTCATGCAGAACTCTTTAGTTACAGCAACATTTATTTGGAACTCTTGGCAGAATTCGGGCTTGAAGGTGCAAACAATGAATGTTTGTTCTATTCTACATGCTACACTAAGACAATTGGGAATAAAGCCAAACCCAAGAATTTAGAGGGCATAATGAAACCGATGCTAGATGGTGTTTTGAAAACAATGAGCTGGATTGAAGAGTGAAAAGAGCAAAAAGCCTTTGGTTGCTCTTGTCCTGCATAGACTGAGAGAAGCTCAGACTTCACTCGGAATTTGTTTGGTGACATCGATAACTTATGAGGGAATCGTCAAATGTGCCGAATTCTTCTGAGTGGCTGATCTGGGCTGGGGGCTGAAGAAGTGCGTCTTAAGTCAACAAGGGACTTGACCTTCCTGTCTGGTTGGTTCAGATTAATGTTATGTGATGGTCAGAGGGGAATCAACTTCTCTGGTACTTACCCTGCTGTGTCTGTCCAGGTATAAATCCACGAGTGAAGTCGGGGCGTTTTATGAAAATCCTTCCCGACTACGAACACATGGAGTACAGAGATGTTTACACCTGCCGTACGTACCTCCCATTAGCAAATGCTTTCTGCACTGAGCACACACGAGGCGCTGCATGGCGTGTGAAGTTACTGCGAGCAACTACCTCGGGGGCAGAATAAGGAGAGCCGTCAGCCAGGCTTTCCCGTGACTTGGTTCTCATGCACTTTGTTCTACCCTCTAAGGTGACACCTTAGGTAGTTGTAACATAGGGATAATAGTACTCACCCCTCTGGTGAAGTGCTTGGAGTTAGGTGAGCATCCTTTCCAGGGTTGGCACTGGTGGAAACTAACTAGGCACAGGTAGCAAATGCTTTCCAGGGCAGTGGGCTTGAGTATACAGTGGAGGTAACACATTCCAGCTTGCCATTAGGGGAAGGAGGAGAGCTGCTTGCATTGCTCTTGGGACCAACTCCATCCAGCTCCAGAAATGACACTAATAGGCTCTAGAGCCACGGTTCTCAACCTATTTGCCACTGTGAGCCGCATCCAATACTACCTACATGGCCCTGAGGATGTCCCATGGGCCACAGGTGTGTGCTGACTGGTCCGCAAGCTGAGAACCACTTCCCTAGATAGACAAAACTAGGAATATGAATGTTATCAGTTAGCTTTTTCTTGGGTGTGGGCAGAGACGTCCCCTTTATTTGTCCCTCTGGCTGAGTCTAAGTGTTGTCAGTTCTGAAAGTTTCCCATAGATTTCTCTGAACTGTAGTCCCCTCTCTCTGATATCTAGGGGGGAGATCACTGAACTTCAGCAGCCCAGGAATCACTGCTGGAGGCATGTCATTTACAGAGGGGAATTCCTTCTTGCTCCCTCCCCTCAATAAAATAAAAAGCACTCTGGACTTCAGGATTTTTATTTAATCCTAACAAAGGGAAGTTTCATAAGAACGGCTATACTGGGTCATACAATGACACTATCTAGCCCAGTGTCCTGTCTTTGGACAGTGCCCAGTGCCAAATGCTTGAGAGGGAATGAATGGAACAGGGCAATGGAGTGATCCATCCTCTGTCATCCAGTCCCAGCTTCTGGCAGTCAGAGGTTTATGGACTCAGAGCGTGGATTTGCATCCCAGAGCATCTTGGCTAATAGCCATTGATCGACCTATCCTCCTTCTGTAGGGAGAGATCCTGAAATGTAACCTTGATAGAATGTGAACTCTGCTGGTGTGTGAATGAGCGCTGGGGGGTCTCCGCTTATGTACACCATGAAAATCTGAACCTGTTTAGGAATCAAAATTATGCTAGAAAGCCCCATGATCCCGCTGCTCATCGGACCTTTAAACTCGAGTTTCCTTGGGTGCATGTAGCTTAGTGAAAATACTGAAAAAACAACGAGGAGTCCTTGTGGCACCTTAGAGACTAACAAATTTATTTGGGCATAAGCTTTCGTGGTCTAAAACCCACTTCATCAGATGCACGGAGTGGAAAATACAGTAGGCATTGGGAATGGATGGGTCACTACAGAAACTAAATACTAATTTCCCCATGCTAATTTCCCCCTACTGTTACCCTCACTTTCTTGTCAACTGTTTGAAATGGGCCACCCTGATTACCACTATAAAAGTGATTTTTTCCTCCTGTTGATAATAGCCCACTTCCACTTTAATTGAATTGTCTCGTTAGAACGGACCCCCCACTTGGTAAGGCAACTCCCATCTTTTCAGGTACTGTGTATATATATCTTCCTACTGTATCTTCCATTCCATTCATCTGATGAAGTGGGTTTTAGCCCACGAAAGCTTATGCCCAGATAAATTTGTTAGTCTCTAAGGTGCCACAAGGACTCCTCGTTGTTTCTGCTGATACAGACTAACATGGCTACCCCTCTGAAACCTGAAAATACCGAGTGACCCTGTAGTAATCCGCTCTGGTTGGCTCACAGGCAGTACATTAGGGATCACCTTTACCTTGGCGCCTTCTAGTGCAGCCTGCAGTCCAAACATAACCCCGAGTTCTGTGCTGTAGTTAGGCTTGGAAAGGTTAGTGTTTTATCAGTAAATGATCTACCAGCCGCATGCAAACCAATGAAAAAATATTTCCAATGATGCTGATAGAAATGTACAGATAGGCAAAGTAAGAAAAAAGGCTGCTTGAGAATTTCTTAGGGTTTGACTGAAGGGTATTTACTCTGTATATTTTGACATGTGATGTTGACATTTTGTGTGTTAACTTGCAGTGTAGCTTTTTGAATCTCAACATCTGTTGTCCTTAAATAAAGATTGTCCGACCCTCCCCATAATTTCCTGTGACTGTGAAAATTTAACTTGATGAAAAATGCTTAAAACCCAAAATTTTGCACGGTTGTGAAAATTTAAACAGATACAAATAAAAAGAAGCTTAAACATATTGATAACAGTCAAAACTGTAAAAAAGACAAACAAAAAACCAAAACGAGCCCCACCCCCCGGGTATTTTGCTAAGCTTAGCTAGTCCATGGCCACCTTTGCTTTCAATGGAGAGTGTTCCGATACCATGGTGAGGGATGCAGTATAAGAACCTGAATAGATCTACAGAGATTGTCGGCTCCTGCTTACCATACTCAGACTTGCTCTGAATGATGTGATCTATGTCACTTTATCCAAATCAAGTGCCATCCAAATCAAGTGCTATCGGAAAACTACCCATTCAGCCTTTATTGTTGCAAAATTTGAGTCCCAGTACTATCCTCTGCTCTGTTAGCACACTTCCCAGGATGCCAGAATGCCTTTCTGTGCCCTGCGCTGCAAACAGCTCTAAAGAGAGCAGGTCTCCATAGTATTTCAGAGCCTGTGATGTACATCTCCAATGGAGCAGCTACGCCCAACGAAGAGTCCTTTCTCCAGGCGTGTACAGAACTCTCATTGTGGTTAAGGGAAGGATAGCAAGGCCCGAGGGTCTAATGCTCTGGGTCTGGAACATGGTGGGACTTTGATTTAATGAATGAAATCGAGTGAGAGAAACCCCTTTTGCTTTGTCCTGGGGGGGTATGTCTAAAGCCACCTCTGCTATCGGTCTGGGGGTGATAGCATGGTTATTATGCAGAGGAGGGTAATGCAGGATGGTGTTACTAACTCACTGGCGCTTGGGAGTGCGGTTTCATGGCATGTGCTAACATGTGGTGTGGATGCTATGGACTCACCTGCACTAAAGCCTTAAAGGCAGCCGTTGGGTTTCAGCCTACGAGGGTTTGAAGCAGCCCTGGAGCTGATGACTTCAGCGTGAGCTAGGATGAGTGAAGTAGCCTGGCAAAGCAGTGACTGTTTCATAACGGGAACCTATGGTATCATGTCTGAGTTGGACCCTCTGATGCACCCACCAGCCCAGTTCTCCACCTGGAATGAAGTGAATCGGGGACACCAAGCTGCCCAGCAGGAATCAGAATTGCTTTACTGATTTAGTGAATAACTGATCTAGCGAGTGTGTCGTTTTCAGCAGCTCTGAAGTTGCCTTTCAGGCTGTTTCTCCAATGGTGAACTTCTTGGTTGTTCTCCCACCCCTCCAAATTACCGACGTCGGATGCCTGTTTCCTCTGTAGGTGAGCCTTAAAGAATTGCAGACACAGCTGTGATGGGTCATTGATTTAGCTTCCTTTCATTCATTCCCAACTCCCCTCGCTCTGGAGATTGCAGATTTCACAGAAAACTCCAGTACCTAGCATTTGTGTTTAAAGTCACCAGGTGGTAGAAGCCAGATGCTGGTGATGAGAGAATATTTAGTTAGCGTTCATGGCATCTGAAGCAGTCCCCATCCCCTTCTGAAGAATATCTCCAGGGCTATAACAGCATCGCTGTGCTGTTCTCTGGGGCGTGTCCCAGCTGCGTAGATCTCACTTGGTTGAATTGCATGGGATGGACTCAGTAGCGTTCTCTATATTTCTCTTATCTCATCATAGCTGGATAACACTGTTATTGGAGCTTGCCAAAGCAAACTCCCTCCTAAGAAAGTGCCTGTCCAAAAGAGGAGACTTGCGGGGACTGTGCCGCCTCCTGCCCCTTCCCTGACTGAATACAATCCCTTTTTCAGATGGCCTCCTATCTGATGGCTGCCTGATGTCCTGTGAATGGTGAGTCATGGTCAGTTTCCAGCAGATGCATCCTTGGGTTTTTCTACATGAGGAAATAGCTATCCTGCTTTAAACTCTCAGTCCAGCTCACTTCACAATAGTTCTCCCGTGTAGACAAGCCCTCTGTTGCAGACATTGCCACAGTTGATGTTAATTGGCCACCCATTGTTGGCTACCTGAATGAGCTGCTGAGACCGGACACATCCATCGCCCTACTGGAGGTAACCTCTCCTGACCTGGGCAGCATACATTAGAGCCAGAAGAGCTGACCCTGGCCCAGGACAACCAGAAGGAAATCCCTACACAGATCCCCTTGATGGGGAGAGGAGCCTATATCCCCAAGGGACCCCTTCTTAGGGAGCATCTCTATCTCCCCCACCTCTTTGGAGGCACAAAGAGAGCAGGGGAGCCCATTGGAAAGGAGAGAGGTATGGTTCTTCCATCAGAATTGGGAGAGCTGGCAGGCTCACCCCTAATCTCCCTCATTTGTCGGAGTCAGAGCTGTAACTAACCAGGTCTTGACGGCAGGGAATGCCCCTGCTGAGCTGACAGGTTCAGGCATTGCAGCGCTGCTCAAAATCTGAAATGAAGCCATCACGGTAGGAAGCCCAAAGGTTAGCATTTTCCTGGAGACTTTCTTTAAAAAAAATACAAAGCCCCTCCTCCCCCACCCCCCAAGATGCAGACCATCCGCTCTCCACCTGAGACACTTTGCCTCCAAAGGGGGTTGTTGGAAAGTTCCAGGGAGAGGGTGGGGAGGCTGCAGTTAGCTTTCAATGCTGCTCAGGTTGCAGGTTCTGTCTGCGAACAGTCTATTCCCATTCCGCTGATTAGGGAGTTTTCTGGCTCTGAACAGCTGTTAAAAAGCTCTTCACGTTACTGGCGAGAGAAGGGCACCTAAGCCTCTGACGGCTCGGTTAGATTCGCCTGCCGTTGGCCGGCTGAACAGATTTTAATCCAAGTTCAAGGGTGATTGTGTCAGACTCACTGATCTGGATGTTGCTATGACTCAGCCACTTTCCCGAAGCAAACATGGCCTTGAACTAATCTGGAGCTGGCTGATTACCCAGAAACGGAGTTTACGAACCCTGTTCAGTACAAGTCTCTCCTCTTTTGGACAGGCCCTTTCTTGTATTTAAAAGTCTGGCATTAAGACAAGACTGTTATTTGTAGCATTAACCCGGAAGATGGTTCTAATGGAAGAGCTGTTCTTCCTCCAGTTCAGTGCTGCCTGCGTTCAGCCGCTGTCAGGTTTTCAATTCTAATCTTAAAAGCCACTGGCATTTATCAGCTGGGTACACAAACAGGGTGGAGGAGGCAGGTATCAGTGAGTGGGGTTTCTTGTGTATTAAATGGTACGTGCATAGTAACTGCACTCCGACTATTTTAAATCGGATCCACTTTGTATCCTTCATGCAGTATGCTGTTTGCGCTTGACTCCATGGGCTGAGTGACATTGGGCCAATCATTCCTGCTTCTCGTTTCTCCTGTGTCACTTTCCAGTTCTTCCCTAGCCATGGGGCTGTTTGGGATTTAAACAGCCCTCGGCAGTGTCCTTGATCCCAGATACGGCTGTTTGCTTTGGCATTTAAATAATGAAAATATTCTTGTTTAGTTCTATACAATTACTTTTTAACACGTCCACTTTGGGCTTAAACTCCTCCAGTAACAGGATTCACTCCAGCTCAGTCTGGCCTAGGTAAATTAAAAACTGCCAGGCTGAATTTGTCTAGCTTCAACTTCCAGCCATTGGATCGTGTTAGACCTTCCTCTGCTAGGCTGAAGAGCCCATTATAAAATATTTGTTTCCCATGTAGATACTTACAGATCAAGTCACCCCTTAACCTTCTCTTTGTTAAGCTACACAGGTTGAGCTCCTTGAGTTTATCACGATCAGGCAGGTTTTCTAATCCCTTAATCATTCTCATGGCTCTTCTCTGAACCCTCTCCAGTTTATCAACATCCTTCAATTGTGAACACCAGAACTTGATGCAGGATTCCAGCTGTGGCCATACCAGTGCCAAATACAGAGGTAAAATAACCTCTCTACTCCTACGATGGCACCGCTGCCTGCAATGGAGGGGCCTGGACGTGGTGACCCAGGAGGTCCCTTCCAGTCCTCTGTCCTTTGTTCACGTCAGGCCATTAAATATACTCTCATATTATGGGTCAGCTGTTGCTTATCTTTAGAATCTGAGATGAACAGATCTGGATTCTCCACGGAAGGCAGGCATATGATGTAGTGGATACCTTCAGTTCCTTATGACTCCTGTTTGCAGCAGGCGGTATGTATCAGTGTTCAAAGAATCACTTGTGTTTGCAGTTTGTGGAAAACTTTCCTACTTCTGCCCCCTTTTTCGGTTGGCTTTAAATCTTAACTAGCTCCGAGATGAGGAGCCAAAGTACAAGATATACTCCAGTACACGATGCTTGGGAGCAGCTTTGAGGAAATGTTGAAATGCGGTAACCTACTGAGATTTCTCCAAGGTCCTCTGTAGGTATTGAATCTGTAATGACACCCAGTCTTCTGGATGCTGTGCTCAGGAACTATGGGGCATGTGTGCTGCCATCTTAATGGCTGAATCCGACGAGGATTAGGTGCTTCAGTGGAGGCAGGGGAGTGAGTCTGTCTGGTAGGACAAGAAGGGGATGGTCTCTTAAAGCAAACGCTGTTTGCTTTCCCTGCTCTCCCCTACTTATAAGTTTCAGATTCTCCCCCCCACCCCCCCGCATTCACACCTCTATGAAATCGGAGGTTTCTGGTGTCGAGAACATCTTACTTGTGGTCAGGGAGGTGGATAGCCTGCACTTGTAGGCTCCAAGCAGAGCATGTAATGCCTATCGACAGATCTCAATGAGAGGATTTTCTGATGGAAAGTTATTTGCTAGTTGGTCCTTGGATCTTTGCCTTCGTAAATCCTTGAAAAACTACCTCTTGCCACTGCTCCTGGCCGGGCATGAAGCTGTGCAGGAGAATAGTGTGCGTTTGCAGTCGGCTTCATGTAACAGCTTTTTGAAAGTCTTCAGAATTGGCCCCTCTCACTGGGTTTGGGAGAACTGGGATTCTCTCTCCCAACCCCAGAAAGGACCCTGTTTGAGGGGGTGTCAGTCAACAATCTGTGTAGTTTTTATGGCAGCCTCCTCATCTCCCCTCAAATCCCTCTTGCTGCGTTCATTGTGAAATGTCTTGCTTTGTCTCCTATTCCCTAGTGCTGCACCGATACCGACACATCTTGGGACTGTGGCAGCCAGACATTGGGCCATACGGGGGACTGCTGAACGTGGTGGTGAGTACAGAGATGTCCCAGAGGTTTGTTGCATCAGCTTCTGGCAACAATTTCTTACAAGCTCCTTTAAAACTTTTATGTTTCTGCCTTTTGGCATAAGTTGGCATTCACTGCGTTGCATTAGGAAGAGTTTGGTAAAGACGCTGCCTATGCAGGTCACTTGGCTGCCTCGTTGCCACAGTATTTGATACGTTTACCTGCATAGTGACTAGTCCCTGAAGAGCAGTACGTCAGACATGATACTGACAGAGGGGCTGATCCAAAGCCACTGAATTCAATGGGAATGTTTCCACTGACTCCAATGAGCTTTGGGTTAGGATCACAGTGAGACCAAGTCTAGAGAAGCAGAAGAGCTGCAGAATGTCCTTTGCCTCTCTGGATTTAGGATTATTGGGATTACTCTGAGAGGCTGAGGATAGAGGCTTGCCTGATGCCCTCTGATATCCTCCGGCACCTCTGCACCAAGGAGCATGGTTTGGCCGGTTTAACATACTAAACCCATTGAGTTTGTTAAGCTTTGAGCGCAAGCCTCTCTTGTAGAAATGTGTGTTCCAGAGCCTGATATCAAGGGCATCTGGCTGCAGCAGTGTGATCATACCAGAGCTCCACGGGGAGTGTACAGGGGGAGGGCAGTTACGGAGTGATCCACCCCGTCTCTCACTCATGGCTTCTGGCAGTCAGATGTTTAGGGTCGCCCCAAGCATGGGGTTGCATCCCTGACCATCTTGGCTAATAGCCCTCAATTACTTATCTAGTTCTTTTTTTTTTAACCCAGTTATGGTTTTTGCCATCACAACATTCCCTGGCAAGGAGTTCCACCGGTTTAGTTGTTCACTACGGCTAGCTTGTGAAGAGAGACCGCAGTGCCGATCTCTCCTTATGTCTTTGGGAGAAATCTCCATTACAGAATACTTGCTCTTCAAAGCCGCTTTCCCTTTGTGGGGTGAGGATTCAATGAGGTTTGCAGGAAGAGGGGGGGGGAAGAAAGGCTGGCTCTTTCACGCGTCTTAGCAAGTGAAGGGGATCATGGCTTTCCTTACTGGCAGTGAGTAATAGCGCACAACAATTCATCATCCAAAAGCCAGACATAATTATGGAGACTAGAAGTCCTCCCTGTAAGAGAATCACTGGCAGCATGAGCTCGTCACAAACCAATTAGCGCTTGACTAGCCTCAGCATAATCTCGCTCTCCAGAGCCCAATGCGTATCTGGCATCAAGCTGCTTGCAGTAATAGACGTGAATGCTTATCCCATGAAACAAAGCCCTATAAAGGGTGGTTCTTCCCTCCTCACAGAGGCTGCACTGTGTCTATTTGGGCTGGGATCTGGGCACCGGAAAGCAGCTATCTAGCACTGGAAATGCATCTGATTGTTGAGAACAGCTCTTCAGTGCCTTGGGGGAGAGCCAACTTACTCCCTAACTGGAGAGGTTCTGGGGCTGAGGCAACAGCTGCTGCCCAATGAATGAAGACTGGGGAGCATTGACTCCATTTGCTTCTCCCACCTCTTCACAGGTAGATGGCTTGTTTATCATTGGCTGGATGTACTTGCCCCCTCATGACCCTCACGTGGATGACCCAATGAGGTTCAAGCCCCTTTTCCGGATTCACTTAATGGAGAGGAAAAGTGCGACTGTCGAGTGTATGTACGGCCACAAGGGGCCCCACAATGGCCATATCCAGGTGAGCTCCAGCCTGTGCCTCTCTCCCCTCCCCACACACAGGTGAGTCTGGCTGTTTAACCTGGGCACCGTGCGCTGAGGAAGAGTTTGTATTCCACAAGCCTGTAAACAAAAGTACCCAGTGGAAGAGAATGTGACATCACTACCGTGATGGATCACGCGCAAGGCTTTTTTCTGTCCATCTCTCAATCGGCTTTCCTTTAGTGACCGCAAGGGATCGTTTAGGCCAGTGGCTCTCAACCAGGGGTACGCGTACCCCAGGGGATACTTCAACTCATCTAGTCTTACAAAAAGCTACATAAAAAACGCTAGCAAAGTCAGCACAAACTACAATTTCAGACCGACAATGATTTTTTTTTATACTGCTCTATATACTATACACTGAAATGTAACTACAATATTTACATTCCAATTGATTTCTAGTTCTATGGTAAAAATGAGAAAGTCGGCAATAGTGTGCTGTGAGACTTGTTTGCATTTTTATGACTGAGTTTGTAAGCAAGGAGTTTTTAAGTGAGGTGAAACTTGGGGGTACGCAAGACAAATCAGACGCCTGAAAGGGGAACAGAAGTCTGGAAAAGTTGAGAGCCACTGGTTTAGGCCATCTCCTGGTCAGTTCTGATCTCTAGGCTGATCGCACATTGAGGCCTTGCTTTCAGCTGGTGCCCCTGCATTGGTGAGGATGGATCAGCCAGCGTCGGGGAGTCAAGGGAAGGGGTGTATAAAAATGGTCCCATGTACTGACGTGTCCAAGTATGAACTGTGACCAGTCATCCCCTGTAGGGGCCTTGGGGAGGGTACTTGGGATAAGCCATGGGGTAGGTGGGATGTATAAGGAACAAACTCTAGGGAGATCCTGCTTCTTGAAACGAGGCTCAACTGCAGAAGGCAGCTTGACATTGGGATTCTCCCTTGGAATGATGCCCACTCGCTCCCTTTCCTCAGAGCATGGAGCTGCTGCATTAAGAGGCTGAAGCACTTGGCCTCCGTTATCTTTAGCGGTCACCTATCGAGTCCCGCTGCCTTGTCATTGCAGCCAGGAGGGGCTGGCAAACTGCGTAAATCTTGCCGTCCAGCGTGTCGTGTTAGGATTCTGTTTGAGGCAACCTTTGTTACGTTGTTACATCAGCCTGCTGCTAACTTGAGCTCACCGACTCTCCCCAATAACTGCAGATCGTAAAGAAGGACGAATTCTCCACGAAGTGCAACCAGACAGATCACCATCGAATGTCAGGAGGAAGGCAGGAGGTAACAGCGTCCCTTCCAGCCTGGCTGGAAAGAGTCTGTCACTTGCATGTCCATCTAAATGCACGTGAGGCACAGCAGGGTGTGGCGTTACTGTCAGGTCCCAAATCTTTGTGATCTGTGTGGTCATGATGGGAGCTGGGATATGACCCCTAAGGCGCCCATTTGTGTATAACTTTACAGGTATTGGGAAAAACAAAGCTGGCTGATCAATGGCAATTTCTGTCCTTGAGGTTTTTCTAATGGATAGAAATAACTTGTGGTTTGAATTTGCCCTTGGTAAAACTTGTAGCGGACCAAATTTATCCTCCTCCGGCTGATGCAGGGAGACTGTCAGGTATGGGCTGCGCTTGGCCCTTGGGCTGCCCCTTGAAAATCATCACACGCAGATTTGTGTTGTGCATCGCACAATCCAAAGGAACCTCTTCGGCCACTGGGTAAGGCCTGGCTTCAGACTCCAGTTCACTGGACCGGCTCAGTACTCAGACTATACACCCACCTTGTTGGGAGACCTCTGTAATACTGGAGCACTATTGGTTGCTTTGCCGCACCATATGTGCAGCAATAGCCAAACACAACGGAGTGCGTGAAGGACCATTTCTGTCTGTGTGCCAAGGTTACGAGATAATAAACAACCCTCAGCTCCCCACTCCTTAGCACATGGCAAGATTTGGGCCACTGTGTCCTTGTTCTTCCTATGCCACGTCTGACCCCTCAGGTTGCGTTTTGATGGCCCAGTCTGGAATAAAGCAAGCAGCCTTCACGTTCTTCACAGTTCTCACAGGGTGCTGAGACCTGTGTGAAGTTGGGCCTGCTATTAAATATCAGCCATGCTTGCGTGCCTCGTTTTCTTGTAATTATGGCAAGAGGGGCTCCTTTTACTGCCTGTCTGCTGAGATGAGGGATTAAAACCTTAGTTGGCAGTGCAGGAGTAATAGAATTAAATACAGCTGCTCTGCCTGTCAAGAGGAAAAATCAGATGTATCATGAGAGAGCTTCTCTGTTCACTGCTGCACCGTGTAGGGATGCTCATTGCTGAGAAGTTCAGTTAGGGAGTCCATCTAGTTAAAATCTGACTCTGAGTTTTCATACTTCAAACTGTTCCCTCTGTGAAGCTTAAAAAATCAACCCTTTACCCCAGGGGTTTCCCGGTAGAGGGCTGATCTATTGCTGAGGTACGTTTTTGGTCAGTTCCGTAGTAGATGAATAATGTGTGCACAGTCCTTTGGAAACAGTGTGTCGGGTAAGTGTGAGAGAGAGCGTGGTAACGAGAGATTCTGTATTTAGAAGGTAAAGAATGCAGGTTCAGAAGATCACTTGAGAGGCGGATATCTTTAGTGGGGATGCTGTTGTCATGAAATTGTAACTCACCTTAGAGAAGTAGCTTTTCAGAGATTGCTCAGAGCTGCTGTTGAGACACTTTGGGGAGGTTTCTCAGAGCACATGAAGGATTTAGGAGCACAAATACTACAAGTCAATGGAATTTATTTTCCTTAATCTTTTAGTGTTTTTGACTCTTCCTCCTTTCTGATGATCAATACGCCATGTAGCATGATCCAGGAGATGGGGTGCAGGACCGAGACAACAAGGACTTGGGTCCCATTCCCAGTCTGACAAGTCACTTCCACTCTGTGCCCCAGCTTCTTTGTCATTAACATGGGGGTAGTGGTCCTGCTCCCCTTTCATGAAGGGCTGTGAGGGCAGGGGATGAGAAGGGCTGTATAAAATAATAGGTATTTTTGTTTCTGTAACCAGCTGGGCACATGGGCTTTTTCCTCGCTCACTGTCTACGTGAATTCTGTTGCATGGCCAAGAATGAAGCTGTGCAGCTAAGGCACCATCGTAATTATAAAGTGTCTGTGAGTGGCTCGTTGGTTTTACGTGTATCTCCTCTGTGTGCACTGCAGGAATTCCGGACGTGGCTGAGGGAAGAATGGGGCCGGACTCTGGAGGATATCTTCCATGAGCACATGCAAGAGCTCATCTTGATGAAGTTCATCTACACCAGCCAATACGAGTAAGGGGACCAGCTCTTCCCTAAACATTGGGGTTAGGGGCATCTGAACTTGGCCCAGTACACTGCTGTTTTGTTGGTTCAGTCTTCCTAGTTAGCTGATAACCTTGCTACAACACATGTAAATGGGTCTTTTTCCTTCCACCGATTCCTGTTTTAGGGGCCTCTGCTGTGTTTGTAGAGAGGGTGGTATTTTCTGCACAGAAAATGAACATATGTAATAGTCCTCATCAGGTCCATTACCAGGATTATGATAGTGCCCCAGGACCTTAATTTGGATTGGGCCCTGTTTCACTGAGCAGTGTACAAACAGGTGATAAGACAGTCCCTTCCTATAAGCGTAGTGAAAGGTAAGATGCAGCAGGGGGACACAGTGATAGGCCATACGGTTACTCGGAATAGCTGTGTGCCCAGTAGATGGCTTTGGGTCCTTTGATTTTGTGTAACCTTCAAATTGTACACGCCTTCCCACCACAGCAAGGTGCAGTCCCCTGCGCAGGATTCTGTGAACGGCTTTGAAAGACACTCATTAAAACACCAAGCAAAGAGATGTCCCTTGTGATCGGGGACCTGAATGTGAAAGTTGGAGCTGTAAGCCCTCATAAAGTAGTAGTGAGAAACAATGGTCTGGGTTTACAAAAGGAGAGAGGAAGGGGTTTAGTTGAATTCTGCTGCTGTAATCGGCTGGTCCTTACAAACACCATCTTCACCCAACACACGAGATGCTTATGCACATGGAGGTCACCTGACGGTATGGCCAGCAACCAAATTGACTAGGTAACGATGCAGCAATGAAGGGGATTGAGTATCTGTGTCAGGGAACACTTGGTGCTGACTACCAGAGGACACTGGGTGCATAAGGCTTCCAGAGATCCCCTGGGTCTGGGATCTATGTACTAGTTCGCCACAGTGTTGTGTAAGGTCTCTACTGAAAGCCTGTGTCACACTGGTCATCATTGTCATTGTGAAATGTATGTACAGATAATATGTAAGGGGTGTGTGTACACATACGCTGGAAATCATCTTTATAAAGTCTGTGAGTTGGGGCCAGCCCCAGAAGTGGTAAACAAGTTTCTTTCAGGCAGAAGTTTATCTGTCAGTCTGCCTACATGTACATTGAGTATTGTATACTTCATTGTGAAGTATTTACAGGGGATATTTACGCTCTGAGCAAAATGCTAATCAAGTGATTGCAAAGTCTCCAGGGGAAATTACAAACAGGAAAACACAAGCAGGTTTATCCTGTTTGCAAGTGAAAACAGTGGATTTTTCGGACTATAACTGCAGCTAAAGAGATTCAATCTGCATCTTTCACCTAGGAGGTAAGTTGTTTCATTCAAAAAGGATCACAGCCAGGAGAATTTGGGTAAGAGAGATTTCATTAGTGTGACATCCTGCTCAGGACATCCAGGACTGCGAACCACTTGTTACCCCTCTGCCTCAGCAAGTGAGAGCTTTGCTGCCACTAAGCTGTATCGGCTCCCTGACACACCAGCCTGTCTGCCTTGCCAGCAAACTCTTCAAGATGCTGCTTGCCTTGCAGGTAACAATCTGAGTTCCCCCAGAGATGTCTCTGCAGTGTCCAGACCCTCTCGCTGGACACATGGAAATTATTAGATTTGTTGCTTCCAAAGAGAGAGAGCACACAGCAGCCTGTTAGGTTAGCCTGAAGATTCACGCTTCGCTTTAATACACAGCACTGAGATGGTTTTGTAATAAAACAAGAATAAGTTTATTAACAAAGGACAGAGATTTAAGTGATACTAAGCAAGAGCAAAAGAGAGGTATGGTTACAGACTAGTCACTAGAAAGCATGCTTTATTTTGTTTTAAGCTTAATCCTAGCAAGTTTCAGTCTTGGCCTAAGCAGTTTTCTTACTCACATCAAGTTACCTGCATCTCCAGGGCAGGGGAACCAATGTTCACAGAATAAAATGGTGCTGTTCCCCAAGTGATAGAGAACTCAAATGTGTAATTGCTCCCTTTATAGTACCCAAAGTCCATTGTCTGTGCCTCAAGAGCCAGGAAGTTGTCCTGGGGTGCAGACTTTGTCCCCTGGTGTTATTATTAAACTGCCGCTTGTTGGCTTTGTTTGCTGTATATGTAAAGAAACTTTCATTGTCCTTTGCCTCCAGTCAGACAGGAGAATCCACATTCCTTTGTCTAGATAGGCTCCATGTATGCTCTGCCTCCCAAAGACATTTTAAAAACCTATTTCCAGCTCTCTCACATTACTCTTCATGCACTACCCATACATACATCACACAATGATTTCTGTGACCAGCCTGTCACCAGTGTATGAGTGGTATCTTACATGACACCTTTTAGAGACACTACGTCAATGTGTTGAGGGTAATGAGTGTGTCAGGCCTGATATGAGTTGCACTACAGTGGGCCCTCTGCCAGTGGCTCTTAGGGTCACAGTTAGACAGCAGGGCATCTTGTGAGTTAAGTTTAGGCTCTAGTATGCAAGTTATGATTGCATTTTATACATAACCCTTTGTTTCCAGTACATTTGAATCTCTGTTCTTTGTTAAACTTGCTTTTGCTACCAACAAATCTAAGTGCTATGTGTGAAGCAGAGCTGAGTTCTGCAGTGTATCTGATAAGCTGAGGTGTCCTGTTCCTTTTGGGAACAGAGGATCAAGAATTCTGTAAAAAGAAGAACAGGAGGACTTGTGGCACCTTAGAGACTAACAAATTTATTAGAGCATAAGCTTTCGTGGACTACAGCCCACTTCTTCGGATGCATATATATGCATATATATG